CTAAAACTTTTTCAGTGCCTTTTTTTCTTCTTCTTGTTCTAGAATTCCAGTTATGTGCATGTTTTTCCTCTTGTTTGTTCCCCTTATTATTCTTAGTCTTTCTTCATTTGCCTTCCTTTTAGATTCTGATATTTGGTATAGGAGATCAGAACTGAGAGCTCTCTCTTCTATTTTACTGACTCTGTGCTCTATCTCTTAAGTTCTGCTCATCTGTCCCTCCAACATGTTGACAACTTTTGAGGTACTAATCTTAATATTTTGGATTACAGTTTCTTATTTTTCTGAGGTTTCTAATTTTTTATTTGTTTTATCTGAAAAATAACTCTATTGAGAACAAAATTCTGTGATTCTTTTAGGAATTACAAGTCTTATATAATTTGTTCTGATTTAGTCTCTAGTTGTTTACATCATACTTTTCTCTTAGGTGATTTTTTTAGATCCTGGAATAGACCAAGATCTTCACACATTATACTTCACCTACTTAATTTATGCTTTCTCAAACCATGTGCATAATTTTAGGCCTATGTTTGAAATTGATTTCCTTAAAAATATAATACAAATTAATACCACTTTATTTCAATGAGTCCTTGATTTTTAATAACTGGTTCTAATGATGAAGTCCATAGTGAATTATGCGGAAAACAAAATTGCTAAACATCTCCGATATATTGTTTGTTCATGTACTAATTTTTTCACAAAATTACATTAAACTCTAAGCAGCAGGCTTTATTAATAATTCCATATTTTACTCATAACATAGTACATAACCTTTAAGAAGTATTCCATATTAGTGAAATTCAAAATTAATAATTCTGTCTTTGAAGAGCAACAACTATTTTTTTATATTTTAAAGAACAACTAACATTGAGACAATGGAAATCCCAGGACACTTAATTATACTTTTAAGGGGAAAAAAGTCTATACATAGAACAAGAAGCTGTTGCTCAAATGAAACAAAGGAATACAATATGGTTTAGCTAAGGAAGACTACTACATGTCAGGATTGCATCCATTCCCCATAGCTATTCAATCTGAATGCTAAGCAAATAAATCCTGAAACCAGTCTCTATGAAGAAAAATATGGAATCAGTATTGGAGGAAAATTTATCAACAACCTACATTATGCAGATGACATCCTTGCTAACTAAAAGTGAAGAAGACCTGAAAAGCTTACTGTAGAGGATCAAAGACTAAAGCCTTTAATATTGATTGCATCACAAGATCAAGAAAAGAATGGTCTTTACCACTAGGCCAATAGGAAACATCATGACAGATGGAGAAAATATTGAAAGTATCAGTCTTGGTACAAGCAGTGAGGAGACTCATCATTTTGAAAAAATCCACTGTCAGGCACCGCTCCAAAATAAGTAAGACTAGGTAAATCTGATTCAGGCTGTGGTCTTTTCATTCACTTGCTATGCATCTAAGAATTGGATAATTAATAAAGATGGCAGATGAATTTATGTCTTGAGTTGCAATATTGGAGAATAATACTGAATATCTCATATACTGAAAAGAACAAACCGATAAGTCTTGGAAAGAGTTCAGCCTGAGTTCTCCTTGGAAGCAAGGGTGGCAAAACTTCATCTCTCACACTTTGGACATGTAGTTAAGAGAGGCTATTCCTTGGAAAGGAATATTATGTTTGGGAAGATGGTGGGTCAGTGAAAGAGAAGACTACTCCAGTATGAAGGATAGACATGTTGATGACAGGAAGGGGCTAATGTGTATCAGAGATTATCAAGATGGTGTAAGGTAGCACAGGATTCAGTTCCTGTTGTCCATAGGATCACTAGGAGTGGCACCTAATAACAACAATCAATATTTATCTATTTAAGTATAGTCAAAGCTCAAGTTAGGAAATTGTTGTTTCAATATGCCAAATTTTATACAAGAACACTACTACAAAGTAAGGAGCACTATAATATTCATCAGGAGTTCTGGTGGCCTACTGGTAAGAAGCTGTGCTGCAATCTCAAAGCAATGCGGTTCTAATCAGGTGTTCTGTGGGGAGGAAATGGGCAATTTCCTTTTGTGCAATTTGTTGCCTCTGCAAAGCCACTGGAGTAGTAAGCTATGAGTAAGTTCTGACTTGATAGCACACATAATAATTACTGTAAAATAACAACATAATAATGACTTAAGAATAGATTGAATCACTAAACATAAATAATTGAAGACTGGATGAGCTGTGAGATGACATCAGGGATATCATCCACAAAGAGAACAAAAGATCCCTTAATGATAATCAACCCCAATTTCCAGATATTATCTACAAAGATTTTGCTTCTCACAAGTGAACACGCATTGAACTAAATTTAAAATTTCCTATGTTCTTTTGTCATTGAATTCCTTAAAAACTTCCATTCTCTGATACCAAATTCAATCCAGTTGTCTCTGAATATGTATGAATCAAAATTATAATAATGAATATTCTTTGCAAATTATATTTTAACATTGTAGAACAAAATGATTTAAAAGTTACCTGAAGCTCTTAATCCGGGAGCATACATTTCCAACATTGGAACTTTATTAGTAATAAAATCTCTATTGCATATTTCAATTTCTCCTTCATTTAGAATCATGTCTAAAATTTCACTAATCCAAGTTGTACCTATGGCAAAAATCCCCCAAAACAAAAACAATTTAAAAACCCAAACAAAACATTATTACAATGTTCATTAAAATCTGATGGGCACAGGAGATGGAAAATCACTCATTCTATTCCTGCTGATCTTGCTGTTACGTGTCTCCAAATTGACTATGTCTCACAGCAGCCCTATGAATAACGGATCAAAACCTTGTCCTATCTGGTTAAAATAGAGCAACTTAATTAAGTAACTAAAATTTAATTCTTTACCTTAATGAGATGAAATGAGTAAAAAACCTTCTTAATAAATCTTAATTAAAACATAGACTTTTTTTTTCTCTTTGTTTCAAATGCTCACTTGAAAAAACTAGAAATGAATTATTGAACTGAACATTAACTTTTTCTAAGACATGGAGAGAAATAAGTTCATCATCAAGAAATAAAAAAGGATATAAATCTTCATTTATCAGTCCAGTAAACTCACCTGATTTGGGATATGTAGCTATTATTATGTCATCTGGCTTGCTTTGGAATTTTCTCATGTTTTCCCAAATGATTGCAAAAGGATTGATCATGGGATAGCCTTGAATCACCTTCAGATTTTTTCGCAAAAAGTCTTTTGAGGAAATCATTTTGATTTACCAGATTGTCTCAATACTTAAGAGAATGTGTCTGATATTCAGAATATGGGAAGATAAAGAGAATAAAAAAAATAAAAATATGCATAAATAATACTATTTCTGAGATAAAGGGGTATCACATTCAGAACAACTGAACTTTGATACACTGAGTACACAGAGATCTAAATATAAAGGACATATTGGTATACATGAAGCCAGTGATTATAAAAGCAAAAATTGTGTAAGTGATAAGTAAACAAAGGTCTTTAGTAGGACTTTAGAAATAAAAAGAACCAGAAATGTCACCGTAAGTTTAACGATAACTTAATATCACAACTTGGACCTTCCTTGCTGAGCCTGAGGAAGACCTGAAGCGCTTGATGCAGAAGGTCAAGGGTGGTAGCTTTCAATATAGATTGAAACTCAACATCAAGAAGACAAAGATTCTCACCACTGGACCAATTGGCAGCACCACAATAGAAGAAGAGATTGATATTGTTAACAGTTTTAACTTGCTTGACTCCACAATCAACATTCTTGGCACTAGCAGTCAGAAAATCAAAAGATGAATTGCACTAGGAAAATCTTCCAGAGTACTGAAAAGCAACGATGTTAGTATAGAGACTAAGGTGTACTTAATCCAGACCCGGTCTGTGCACTTATTTGCTTTGCATCAGAGAGCTGGGCAATGACTAAGGATGACAGAAGAATCAATGACTTTGAGTTGTGGTGCTGGAGAAGAGTCTTGAACTTTCCATGAACTTAAAAAAACAAAAACAAAAACAAAAAACTGAAAAGACAAAAAAACCCCAAACCAAAACAGGTGAGTCTTGGAGAGGATGAAAACAAATTCTGTCTCATGTACTTTGGGCACTTGGCCAAAAGGGACTGGTTCTTGACTAAGGACATTATCAGTGAAGAAGCAGGAGACCCCATGTGAAATGGATTGATACAGTAACTGGGGCAATGGGAGTCAGTGTGTTGGAAACAATGAGACTGACTCAGGATACGGCTGATTTCAGAGTTGTTGCACCTAGGGTAGGTATAAGTCACAGACGACTCGATGACACATAACAACAACTAACAAAAAGTTTAAAGACAACTTAAGATTATGACTCTATGTTGTTAAGTGCCATCGAGTTGCTGGCCACTCATAGCGACCCCATGTACAACAGCCTTAAACTCTGTTCTGTCCTGTGTCAATCTCATTGTCTCCAACACACTCATCCTGATAACCCCAGTCACCGAATCAATCCATCTTCTAGAGGGCCTTCCCCTCCTGCGCTGTCCCTCCACCATACCAAGCATGATGTCCTTCTCCAAAAACCAGGCTCTCCTTACAACATGACCAAAGTATGTCAGACGAAGACTCAGAATCCTTACCTCCAAAGAGCAGCCCAGTTTAACCCTCCCCAAGATGAATCTGTATGTTTTCTTAGCAGTCTGTGGCACCCTCAAAACTCTTCTCCAACACCAAAGCTCAAAGGCATCAATTCTTCTATCCTCCCTAGTCATTGCCCGACTCTCTGATGCATAACATGTGATTTCAAAGACCATAGCCTGTGTCAGATGTACCTTACTCCCCAGAGAGACACGGTTGCTCTTCAGTACTTTAGAGAGGTCCCTAACAGCAGACTTTCCCATCGCAATAAGTCTTTTAATTTCTTGGATGCTGGTGCCGAGAGTGTTGACTGTGGAGCCAAGCAAAGTAAAGCTGTGAACAATCTCAATCTCTTCACCATCCACCCTGATGCTGTCAATTGGTCCAGTGGTGAGAATCTTTGTCTTCTTGACATTGAGCCTCAATCCATATTGAAGGCTACAGTCCTTGACCCTCTGCAGCAAGCGCTTCAGGTCCTCCTCAGTTTCAGCAAGCAGAGTTGTATCATCTGCATATCACATATTCTTGATAGATTATCCACCAATCTTGACCCCACATTTCTCCTCATAGAGCCCAGCCTCCCGGATAATCTGTTCTGCATACAGGTTGAAAAGGTATGGAGACAGGACACATCCCTGGCATACGCCCTTCCCAGTTTTGAACCATGCAGTGTTTCCTTGCTCTGTTCTGACGAGTGCCTCTTGGTCCAAGTAGAGGTTTTTGCATTAGCACGATTAAATGTTCTGGGATTCCCATTCTTCTCAGAGTCAGCCACAGTTTGTTATGATCCACACAGTCAAATGCCTTTGCATAATCAATGAAACACAGACATTCTTCTGGCATTCCCTGCTTTCAGCTAAGATCCGTATAACATCAGCTACAATATCCCTAGTACCACGACCCCTTCGAAGCCCAGACTGGACTTCCAGCAGTTCTCTGCTGACGTGCTGTTCTAGTCATTTTTGGATAATCTTCAGAAGAATCTTGCCTGCATGTGAAAGCAATGATATTGTTCTATACTAAGAAAAAAGTCCAAGACAAAATAAATTTATCACTTAACCTAAGCACTTCTTTTGTAGCTTACATTTATTTATAGGAAATCTACTGTCATCTTTATCATTGTATTATATTATAATAATATATAATAATTATATATTATAATAATATCTTATTGTTTCCACTCTCTCTCCCTCTGTGTGTTTCTATTGTTTTCTTTCTGTGTCATTGTTTTTGACACTATGGTTAGGATTCACCTTGGTGTAGTTTTATTTTGGTGTAGCCTTTTTATTTTTCTTTCTTAACCCTTTGAGCTCATTGAGAATCTTGGATTTTTGGATTTACAGTTTTTCTAAATATGGAAACTCTTTGGTTACAATTTCTTACATATTTTGTTCTGCTACTCCTTTTTGTGAGGCAGTTATTCACCTGGCAGAAAATTGCCCATCTTTCTCTGATGAAGCAACTGATATATTAAAACCACATATGCCTTTGGAATTGTAGCATAGCTTCTTACTGCTAGGCCACTAGTTGTTGTTGCTTGGTGTTGTAGAGACAAAGATGACCCATAAAGACCCCATGAACCCTATCCTATCCTGTGCCATCCTCATACTTACTGAAATACTAGAATTTATTGCTACAGTCACTTCACCAATCCACCTGGTTGAAGGTCTTCCTATCTTTCTCTGACCCTTCATCTTCCCAAGCACTCCGTCTATCTCCAAGGAATAGCCTCTCCTACCAACATGCCCTAAATATGTGAGGCAAAGCTTTACTATCTTTCCTCCCAGAAACAGTTTGGCTGCACTTTCTCCAAGACATACTAGTGTGTGCAGTTCATGGCATAGTTAGCACTCTTCTTCAATACTACAGATCAAAGGTATAAATTATTTTTCCATCACCCTTACTCAGTATACCCAGCTCTCAGCAAAATAACAAGTAATCAGAAAGACCATGGCCTTAATCAGATGCACCTTAGTCCTCAAACTGACATTCTTGCCCCTCAGTAATTAAGAAAGGTCTTTGACTACAGACTTCCCCATTCACTATGTCTCCTAATCTCCTGATTGCTGGTTCCATGGGTGTTGACTGTGACTCTAAATAAGATGAGATCATTAACAACATCAGAATTATTGTTTTCTTGAAGTTGAGACGCAATTCATAATCACAGCTATATTCTTTAACACTCTGCAACAAGTATTTCAAGTCCTCCTCATGTTCAACAAGCAAGGTTGTGCCATCTCCATAACACAGGTTATTGATGAGTCTTTCTCCAATCTTGATGCCACATTCTTCATAGATTCCAGCTTCTCAAATAATTTGCTCAGCATACAGATTGAAAAGACATGGAAAGAGGATAACATCCTGACATTCTCCTTTTCTAATTTTAAACGATGAATGTTTCATTCTCTATGTGGAACAGACTGGACTTTATGAGGCTAGATTTTATGAGGAGGAGTGTGACATCAGGATTGGAGGAAGACTCAATAAATATAACCTGTGTTATGCAGATAATACAACTTTGCTTGCTGAAAATGAGGAGGATCTGCGGTGCTTGCTGGAGAAGGTCAAGGACTGTAGTCTTCAATATCGATTGAAGCTCAACATCAACACAACAAAGAAAGATTCTCACCACTGGGCCAAATGGCAGCACCATGATAGATGGAGAAGAGATTGAGGTTGTTAGCAATTATAGCTCACTCAGCTCTACAATGAACACTTTTGGCAACAGCAGTATGGAAATCAAAAGACAACTTGTTTTGGAGAAATCTGATGCCAGAGACCTCTCCAGATGGCTGAGGAGCCATGGTATCAGTATACAGACTAAGGTGCGCCAGATCCACGCCTTGGTTTTAAAAATTACATGCTATGCATCAGAGTTCTGGACAATGACTAAGGAGAATCAATACCTTTGAGTTGTAGTGCTGGAGAAGAGTCTTGAACATAGCATGGACCATTAAGGGAACAAACATATCTGTCTTGGAGAAGATGAAACCAAGTTCTCCTTGGAGGCTAGGATCTTGAAGCTCCATGTCACATACTTTGGGCATGTGATGAAGAGGGACTAATCCTTGGAGAAGGACATTGTGCTTGGAAGGATGGAGTAACAGTGCAGAAGAGGAAGACCCTGGATGAGATGGATTGATACAGTAACTAGGACAATGGAGCAGGTATGTCAGAACTAGTGAGATCTTCTCGTAACAGGGCAGGCTTCAGAGCTATTGTACATAGGTTTGCTATGGGTCACAGGTGATTCAACAGCACATAACAACAACTAATTAAAACAGTCAAGAGGCTAGACTTCATGAAGAAGAGACTTTATGACTTCAGGATCAGAGGAAGATTCATAAACAACCTGTTATGGAAATATTATAATCCAGCTTCCTGAAAGCAAAGAGGACTTCAAACACTTCCTATATAAAATCAAAGACTATCACTTTCCTGAAAGCAAAGAGGACTTCAAACACTTCCTATATAAAATCAAAGACTATCACTTTCAATATGAATTAACATCAAGAAGATAAAAGTACTCCCTACTAGGTCAATATACAACATTGTGAAAATGAATAGAAGACTGAAGTTGTCAAAACTTACTCTTTTTTGAACTCACAATTCTGCAAAGAGAACAAACAAG